AGTCACGGCTTGGCACATTTATGTCTGACTAAGGGTGACTTAATAAAAACAACACCGTATTGACCAGTTAAGATCCAACATACTGCATGTAGAGATGGTGGAGCTAAAATAACAGTCTCCTTCTCTATGTGGCATCTAAAAACCATGTTTTAATCAACTATTTTACTACAAAAGGGCAACATATGAACAACACAGCCCAGAAGTTTTAAACCACTCCTAATCCCTTTATATTTTACTTCCAAACAAATTTACAAATGTAATTTTTTTCAGTACATAAAACTTTTAAATGGCCGGAATCAGATTTTCCCGCCCATATTCGAATCGCCCAATGCGGAGCTCTCATGTGAGGTCACTCTGAACTTTGTAACCAACAGGCCTGGTTGCTATGGAGTTGCTATGACAACGATAAAAAACCCACACTCTTAGAACTAACGCACCCTTCGTTCCAGTCTAATTTATAAACAGCATAAATACATTACAACTATTACTAAAGCACAATTTGAGTACCTTACTCACCTGTGTGCAACACTAAGATAAATATCAGTGATATTTACTGCAGTATTTACTGGTGAACCAGCTGAATTACTGCTAGCTTTAACTGCTAGCTTTAACTTTTAACTGCTAGCTAAGATGAACATGTACCAAACGGTTCTTGGCTAAAGACCTTTGGTCCCGTTTCTTAGACATGTCTTACAGACATTGTGTGTTTTCTGGGTATAAATTTTTAGGACACATACTCCTTTATTTGTTCTGTACCAGTGAAGTTTCTCTCTTCTTTTAGGACCGCACTGCACAATAAGTCATCATTATTTTTAAATGGATTGAAAATGCTTGACATTCTTAAATGATTCAGTGAAGAAATTCTCTTTGGGAGTAAAGTATAAAGGGATTAGGCATTTTACAACATAAAAGCTACAAGTTACTACTTGTACTTACTCTGAAAGTCTCCAGTACCTTATTATTCACATGAAGGGTATGTACGTACTTTATAAATCCGTGTAAACATTGATCGGAAGCATCCATGGATTTCAGACTGTGAAGCTCCTACATGGTGTAAATGCTCTTCCTGTTCACTAGGTGGTTATTAACTATGCCGTAGTTTGAGATCAGAGGCAGCTTATTCACATTGCTCAACATATTTCCTTTTTCAGGTCGATCCTGGCAGCAGCCATTTTCGTTCATGCATCTTTCTCTCACACATTGGTCAAGAGTGTCCACATATTTTCTTTTTGTTCGTCTCAAAGCCATGGGTCCGCTACGTGTTGAGCTTGCCTACTAAAATGGCGTGGATCATTTCCGGTTCAGACTTGTGGGAACTACCTATTTCGATCTTTTCACCCTCCAAAACAATCGCATCTGTGCAGCTTCTATATGTGGTGGTAAAATCGGATACAAATCAGATTATTTAACGCATCTACAGTCTGAATGGTCAGGTCTCAGTTTATACAACTTTTACATCATAACTCTGCACCTCGTCATGTAGCTAGTTACTACAAACTTCTGATTTTTATTAACTCAAATAGAAGACAGGTTTTAAGTCTCCTTTAGTCTTAATGTAAAAATTATTTTTATGTATTTTAGAAATCTCTTTATATTTTATTCCCAAAAATAATTTCATCACTGATTCATTTAAAGAAGCCAAGGGTTTTAAATTTTTTTTTAAATACTGACGACGGTACGCAATGCGGTCCAAAAAAAAAGAGAAAAACTGCTACAGAACAAAAGAAGCAGTATGTGTCCTAAAAATCTACATACAGAAAACAAACAGTTTATAAGACATGTCTAAGAAACGTCACCTGATGCACGGTCTTCAATCAAGAACCAAAATACTGTTTTCCCTCTGTCAAACCATGTTGTCTTTGTTATTTTTAATAGACTCAACTAAAGAAATGAGAACAATTGGGTCTTTGTCACAGGCTGCTAGTAACCAGGAGACTAAATATCCAATTTAAAATTGGTTCTTTGCCAAGTTGTCAGTTATTTCAAAACAACCTTGAGTTTAAAAGCCTTTTTATGCCAGAATCAGTCACAGATTGATGTGAAGTGGCTAAGCAATAATTATTCCTTTAAAAATTCACATAATGCAGCATAAAAAAGTAAAGAGGCAGACAATTTTCAAGAAGACCTTCAGGAAACCTTAAGAACTGTTGAGCAAGAATCCCACAAGGAGGAACATGTCTCAAGATTATTTTTACTAAAATTAAAGCCCACAGATGACTGACTATTACTAGGATGAATCTAAATTGTCTCTCCATAATAAATTAATGTAAATTAATGCAGAAAAAGTTAATTATACAGGTTCAAGACAGCCAATGTTAAGAAATAAAATCCATTCCCACAATGCCTCAGTCTTTAATTAAAACGCCTACAGAACCAGACTAATATTTAGGGACAGCTCAAAGGTTACCGCACTAATCAATAAGTCCATGCATTCAGTTAAACTCAAAAGAATTTAATAACGTTTTCTCCGTCTACAAGACCTCTCTTCTTCTCTTTCATTAACTTGCAGGAGCCCATGTCAGTCATTATAACATCTTTTTCTGCGCTAAGGTTCACCTTGTTTGTCTGCATCGTTCGACTCCCATGACATTTCAGCGCTGACTGACACGCGATGTCAGTTTGAAGAAAAGCTCCCAGCACAGCGCTTCGCAGTCTTACAACGCCGCTTCTCTATTAGAGTCGAGAAAAAGCATTCCTGACAGTAAATAAAGCTGAAAAAGCTTTTACGTCTGTTTGATGTCAGACACATGAAAACTGCTCAAAAATGAACACCATAGTCAAAAGAAATGGAGGAGAAAAATCCAGTTATTGCTGCTATCTTATTAATATTTAAAACGCAGCTAGCTATGATTTCCTTCCTCGGCTCTGAAAAGACATCGGGATCAAAACGAGTGACAGATTTGGAGGTATACATTTCTGTGAAAAATAATTTATCCTCCACGTTAGAAATATTTCAGCCAGAAATAAAGTAAAATGTGTTGGTTCCTTTTGAAATCAGGTTATAATAAGAAATAATATTAGTAACCATAACTACACAGATACACAGCTCTTCATCACGATGTCACCAGGTGACTCTGAACCCATCCAAGCACCGAATGGATGATTAAAACATTTATCTGTTTCATAAAGATAAAACATTTGTCTCTATATATTTATTCATATAGAAATAAATGTGCGGAGGTTCCAAAACTTTCTCCAGCTGAACAGAGACGAAACTGAAGTTATTATCTTTGGACCTAGAGCTTCAGCTTCAGTTATTACAACTAAAACCAGCAATCAGCCCGAAACCTGGGAGTAGTGATGGACTCTGACCTGAACCTTCAGAGCCACATAAAGACAGTCACAAAGTCGGCCTTCTATCACCTGAAGAACATCTCCAGGATTAGAGGACTGATGCCTCAGCGAGATCTAGAGAAACTCATCCATGCGTTTATCTTTAGTTGCATTGATTACTGCAACAGCGTCTTCACAGGTCTGACTAAAAGACCAATCCTCCAGCTGCAGCTGATCCAGAACGCTGGTGTTCTCACCAAAACTAGGAAATCTATGAAATACTGTTAATTCATAAATCACTGAGATGCTTAGCACCACAACACATTAATGATCTACTGTTCCAGACCTGTTAAATCTTCTGGTCCTAGAAGCAAACATGGAGAACCAGCGCTCAGTTTTTATGCTGCACTAATCTGAACTAAATGTCCAGAAAACTGCAAAACAGCTGAAACACTGAGTTCATTTAAATCACAACTAAAAACCCACCTTTATAGAGTTGCTTTTGATTAGTAGTAAATGAAGCATTGATCAACATATTTGATGTGTACTGATGATTTTGATAGAGGCATTTGACAACATGTAATGTTTATCGTTTGTTTCATAATTGGTAACTTTATAACGTTTTTACGATGCAAAACAGTTTGAACAAAAGCTTCCTGAGACAATTAATGAAATTCAAAAATTGATCCTAGAAGGAAAAATAAATGTGGTTCTAAATCATACTAGACAATTTTCTTCCAAAAATAAAAAATGAAACTTTCCAGTGACAGTGAAACATTAATATTGGAGTGGCCTACTCAAAGTTCAGACTTGTGCAAACAGCTAGCATCTGAGCTAGCATCACTTGCCACCATTTCAGACCAATTTCTTTTTGGAATATGTTGCCATCTGAAATCACATTAATGGCTGTTAAAATCTGTAAAAGAGAATGAATTAATATTTAATTAATGCAATGGCTGAATTTATATTCATTTGTTTTATTTATTTTTATTTTAGTTTTTATATTGCTGAAATAGTTTGTGGGTAATGTATTTTGCCATGTCTTTTTGTAATGTTTGTAACGGCTGATTTGTAGTTTAATTTTGTTTGTGTCTTATGGAAGACCATTATGTCATTTTGTAATGTCTATAAAAGTTGATTTAATTAGGAATGTTTGGTGTGGACTCCTGCAAGAGTAGTCCCCTTAACCCTTAGACAAACACATAAATAAATAGTTTCCTACACTGCAGTGTATAGGAGTGAGGGACAAAGGCAGTTTGTGTGGAAAGGACAATTAGAAACCCCAACAGGGGATTTGCTTTAAGTTTTAACCGCCACAGAGGAGTAGGGCTCCGTCTTCTGCAGCAGGAGGAAAAAACCTAATCAGGTTTAATGTTGTTCTGGATTATGAATGCAAACCACAAGCCCAGGTGCGACCACCTGCACAGCAACAAAATGCACAGAAACCTGAGAGTAGCTGAAATTCTCAAAAGAAATAAATTCCCTATTAGCATTTAATAGCATTTCCCTGTAGCCTCCAAACCTCATTTAAATACACAAACTCTATCAGCAGATAATAAAGTTAACCAAGCGTAGCCCCTTAATTCTGCTGCACGTTATCCAAACAACAGCAAGTCAGCCTTTAAGACATCAAATCAATGCTAATGTTTCACACTACCTGCCTGGAAGAAATTTCATGCTTAATTTCCATTTGTAATCTAGAAGATAATGTGGAAACTTTACTTAAATTTTTTTTCCCTGCAATTACTGTTCACACATTATCTCATGTTAGCACTGACTGGAAACCCAACCTGCAACACAAACACGGCTGTGCTACCAAGATGGAGAACATAATACCTTGTTGACTTCCAGGATTTCTCTCCTCTCCTCGCTGGTGAGGTGGCTCTGCCCGCCAGATCGGTCCTCATGTTTGGAGCCGTCGTCCTCCACAAAGGGTATCAGTTGCTGGAAAGGAGAGAGCAAACAAAAGTGTGGCTTTACTACTTACTGCAAGCAAAGCAACTGCACTCAAATGACTGACGCAGATAAGGCGGCACCGTTACATGGCACCTATGATGCCAAATTTTAGTACTTCCATTTACTGCTTCTTAAAAACAACCCAAGCAC